TGTCTTTTGCTACACCATGTTATCGGACCATCACTTGCTTTGAAGACATAACCTGTTATAGATCTTCTTGTTTCTTTGTCTGTGGCATAATCGGAATCACAAAATCCTTCTAGATCCCAATTTTCTAGCTTTTTATATTTTATACCATAGCTTGATGTCCGTTTCAAATATTTGATTATTCTTTTCACTGCATTCCATTGTTCATTTGTTGGATTGTTTAAAAATCTGCTCACAACTCCCACTGCATAGGAAATGTCTGGCCTTGATACAATGGCAGCAAATATTAAAGATCCAACTACCTCTCTATATGGGCCAACAAATGAATGATCAGTTGAATTTCTAGTTAAATCCTGATTCGGGTCAGCCGGTATATCCATAGGATTTGCTTCTTGCATACCAAATTTTTCAATGAGTTTATTGATATAACTTTCTTGATGAATAAAAATAAAGTCTTCTTCTTGTACTATTTCGAGTCCAACAAAATTGTTAACTTTGATGTTTACTTTAACTTCAAAGTTTGTTTGTAATTTTGCTAAAATGATTTCCAGTGCATTTTCACTCGAAGATAGGAGCAGTCCATCGTCAACATAAATAACGAGCAATACTAAGTCACCATTTACAGTACCTCTGTAGACACACTTTTCTGAATCAAATTGTTTAAAACCATATTGTGTTAGAACACAGTTGAATTTTTGATTCCAACATCTTGGAGATTGTTTTAATCCATACAATGACTTCAGAAGTCTACACACTTTGTTACTGATTGTTGAAAAACCTTTAGGCACTTCCATATATATTTCTTCATTTAGGTCACCATAGAGAAAAGCTGTTTTTATGTCGAATTGCCTAATTGAATAGTTCTTGTTTGCAGCAACTGATAATAATACTCGGATAGTATCATAACGAGTAGTTGGTGAGAAAATTTCAGTATAATCTATATCTTTTTGTTGTGCAAAACCTTTTGCACACAACCTTGCTTTATAACGAGCAGGTTTATCTTGATTTTCATCTTTCACACGAAACACCCACTTTGACTCAATAGCCTTCTTGCCGTCAGGTAAGTCTTGCAGTATCCAAGTTTTATTTTGATTCAGAGCTAGAATTTCTTCTTCAATAGCCTTTTTCCATTCCTCAGCATCTTTTCCAGTCACAGCTTCTTCATATGTAGTAGGAATATTGACTTCTACCAAATTCAAATCATAATCTCCAAATCTTTCTGGTAATTTTATTGATCTTGACGGTCTCAACTTGGGAATAGGTGTATTTACAGTAACATCTGGATCAATATTATTGTTTACATTACCAATGTTTTCACTTTCGCTGTCACTTTCAATCGGTTGTTTATTGTCAATATCTTCCTCTCGATTGTTTTGAACGTTTTGATTTTCAATGTCATTTTCAGTGTCACTTTCAATCTCTACTAACACTGGTGCATCCCTCTTTTGTTCTTTTTGAAACCCCATACATTTTTCATTGAATTTTACGTTGCAAGAAACTGTAATTTTTCTGGTGTTTGGATTTAATAGTCTGTAATTTGTTGAATTTCTATCATAACCAACAAAAATTAGTTTCTCACTCTTTGGATCGAGTTTCCTCCTTCTTTGGTCGGGCTGATGTGCATAGGCTACACAACCAAATATTTTGATGTGTCCAAGATAGGGCTTTTCACCTGTCCAATTCTCAAAAGGTGTTTTCTGACTTTGTTTCGATGGTACTCGGTTTAGGAGATAAACTACATTGTTTGCAGCTTCTGCCCAGATATAATGGGGTGCACTTGCACTTATCAACATGGTTCTGACTTTTTCTATGATAGTGCGATTCTCTCTTTCAATTCTTCCATTTTGTTCTGGTGTGTAGGGTGCTGTAGTTTCCAATTCTATACCTTCTTTCTTCAAATATTCACTAAATTCATGATTTATGTACTCACGTCCATTATCTACATGTAAAGCCATAACTGAGTGTCCACATCTTGTTTTTACTTTGTTGTTATATTCGGTGAAGCAATCAGGTGTGTGTTTTATAAAATAAGCTACTAAATAACCTGTGCAACTGTCCTTGAAGAGTAGCATGTATCGAGCACCTGAAGCTGATGGTGTTTGAAATGGTCCACATATGTCACTGTAAACCAATTCACCTGGAGCACTTTTACGAGGCCTCAATGAATTCTTAAAAGTCTTCCGGTGTTGCTTCCCAAAAATACAGTCTTCACAATCAAAATTGTCAAAGTCACTCATTTGAACACCATTAACCAAATTTTTATTCACCATTTCCTTCAAATATTGAACATTTATGTGTCCCAATCTTTCGTGCCATATTTGTAGGCTACTACTTTGTTGTTCTGTTACATTGAGTTCACTGGTTTCTTCATACTTGGTTCGAAAAAGCATTTTATAAAGTTTATTTGAGTCTTGTTGTATTGCGCAGGCAACCAGCTGATTTTTGAGATATATATATTTGCCTTATTAAACTCTTTAATAATTTTCATTCTCTTTTGAGTTAAAACTCCTTCTGATAATAAATTTTTGGTTAAACTTGGAACATAAAGCACATCATTTATTGTTGAACTATACCATTTTCCTTCGATAAGCTTTTCAATGTTTACAGTACCTTTTCCTTGCACTTCTAAACTTTTACTGTTTCCTAGGATCACATTTAAAGGACTTGTTAAAATTTCAAGTTCAGCAAAGTATTCTTTTCTGCCAGTCATGTGTGCGGAGGCACCACTATCTAGGATCCAGTGCTCATCACTATTTGTCACCAAATTACATTCCTCATTTTGTGTAACAAAAGCAGTTTCATTTTTCTTATTGTTTACTTGTTTTGGGGCTCTGCAGTCTTTCGCCATGTGTCCACGTTTGTTGCAATTGAAACAATGAAAAGGGAATCGTTTTTTATTATCTTTTTCTTTCTGATGTTTTTGTTTAAACATAACTGCCAGGGCTGTGTCTTCTTCTTGCACAGTACTTAAACTTCTTTCTTCATCAAGTAATCTTACTGTTAAGTTCTTGATTGTCTGTTTCGTTTCATCCATAGACAACCAGGCTTGTCTTACATTTCGATAAGTTTGTGGCAAAGTACTTAGAATTTTGGTTACTATGGCGGTGTTACTTATATCATCACCACAATCTTTTATTTGTTGAGCTAGGTTTTCTATTTTCGCTATGTGCTTAGCAATGGAATTATTTGGCTCCATTTTATATTGATGGAAACTTTCATGAGCCATAAGTTTGTTAACTTCTGATGTCTGCTTGTAAATTGCATTTAACTTGTCGATCATCTCTTTCGAGGTTTCACAATTTTCAACAAGTGCAATTTGGGACAGGGCCATTGCTGATGTCACAGTAAACATAGCCTGTGCATCTTTACGTAACCATGTTTCTAGTTCTTGCGTTCGATCTGGTGCTGGGGCTGCTGAGGTTCCATCTACCATCCCATACAGACCTTTTGCACGTAGGGCACATTTCACTTGAAACATCCATTGGTGATAATTTTGCCCATCAAACTTGATGATAGAACTAACATCAATCTTGTCTGCCATTTTGTTTTCTAGGCTTCTGTTACTCCAACACACTGTGCAGTAGAATCACAACTTTCGCGTTTCACTGGTGAACTGAGCCCATAACCTTTTGGAGTTTCAGGTTTCTTATAATTTAAGAAATCTATTAAGCACGAAAACTTTACTGCAGAAGCTTTTAATAATGAATTAAAAGCAAAATTACAGGAGCAAGCTACACTTCTACAAGGACTATATTTGACACTTGTCAAAAACTATAACTAAATGTCAAGCTCATAAAACAATATTGCCAAACTGAAAATATTATACAATTCATGCTGAAATAAGAGAAATACACAAAATTAAATATTTCCAATAGGTTTATCTCTAACAGTTTTCTAGAAAAAAAATTATATCTGTTTCAGTCATAAGAATGTGTTTGAAAGAGACCTTTCTCACTTTCCTTGCACATATAAAATCCTTTTCTAACACATTGGTCCTTACGACAAAAACAAATATAATTTTTTTTCTCGAAAACTATTAGAGATAAACCTATCGAACTTTATATCATTAAAATCAGCAAAAACAGAGCTATCCAATGAGCTATTAATATATAGGGAGTTTCATTTGAAAATATCGGAATTTGGTCGATATCTTGAAATCGGAGCGATATCGAAAAAAATCGAGTCCGCCACTGGATTGTACTCCAAAAAGTATCTCCAAAATGTTTTTACAGAAATGAAAAAAATTGATAAAAAAAGAACTTATAGCCATTTTTCATAATAGGGGAAAATCAAAAATGGCCCTGTATTAATGGTACCATTGAAGATATCGCGATACGGTTTTTGACAATCGACGTTTCTCGAAAATCGATCCCATGACATATAAGTCAATTTTCCACTATCTGGTCTGGAAGTACGTTTTTCCTGTTGAAACACTCCAAATTGCAGCACCCTGTCCACTAATTTTTAATAAACTCTCAACAGAATCAAAACCAAATTTAATTTATTTGAATTTCACGACTCAAAATTAGTCCAAACCGACATATTAAATGCTAATAAGAGCTTTTAATAAAAATAATTTATCAATTTATGGTCCGCCATTTTGAAAAAAATGCGCCATTTTGATCTTAATGGAAAAACTAACTTTTTTTTATGAACTCTACAACCCAAAATTAATCGAAAACGACATATCGAACGCTAGAATTTGTTGACAAATGAGAAGTACCAATTTATGATCCGCCATTTTAAAAAAAAGGCGCCATTTTGAGTCACAATCAAAAATTGGGCTGGCCCTCCGGGTCGAATCTCTTAGAATAGCCTAAAATACCTCTCTGTCAAATTTCATGCCTTTAGACAAATTTGCCAAATAGTTTGGACTAACCGCTAGTACTATTCGTGATAAAAAAAATCGCAATTCGCGATTATGAAGACTTAGCTTAATTCTATGGCTTAATTCATTAAATGTCAAATTATATGTGTCATAATTTAAATTTTCAGTGATTGATAATGAAAATTCCCTTTTACACCCTATTAGGTCCTCTGATTGAAAAAAACAAGCACCCACTGATTACAATTTGTTCACACCCATTACTATCGTTTTCGCAATTTCATGTGGCAATATTAGGAATAGCAGGAATGGTAGCTCACAGTGCACGGACTAGTCCAGGTTCCAAATTAATTGATAATGTTTTGTTCAGATTTTAAGCGTATTCGATACATGGAGAATCATAAGGTGCGGACACATTTTGCCAGATTATTTGCACAAAGAGGGATTGAAAAAAGGCAAAATAATTAGTGCTGAAGCGGAAAGAGATTGCAAATTAATTTCGTTAGTGCTTAGTACTGAATATTACTTTTTTCTGTTAGTAGGACTAGCTACGGTAAGTATAGTTTGACTTTCAAGTAAAAACTCTAGTAATTAGTTTTATTTTAGAACAACCCAGTCTTCTATATGCCTTTTTTAGTTCTCAACGCCTTGATAATACTTTCCGAACCGGCAATATTCCTCACCGAAATGGCAATTGGAGGTTTCAACCTAAAAAAACGCACCCTCGTAAACCTGATAATAATTTACAATTGGTTAAATGTTGCTTGCTCTTTCGCCAAATCCCTGTCTCATTGTGATTTGTAACAAATAAAAACAATTGATAGATCCCGAAGATTTACACAATTCATTTTGGAGACGTTCTAAAAACAAAAACTAAATAAAAAATTATTGAGGAAAATATTTTAGGACTTGTTGATATGGAGGAAGAATCAAGAATCTAAAATATATTATGTATATTTGAAAATACTCCACTACAACCTATTGACTAAAGTGGTGATTCGGAAATTTTCCTGTAACAAAAACACGTTGTTGTCCTCCCTCAAACGTGCGGCTCTGCTTCTATCGAGCAAACTTTCGTTTCTGGCCAGAACCTTTTTGGACTTCTCGGGGGCGATTCTGATACCTAAAACTTTGATTAGTTTTTTTGAAGAAAAAAAATCAATCATCAGATCATTATCACCTGCACTTTCCTCCACTGGCGTGTATTTCTGTCCGAAAGGGTTTATTTTGCTACTTTGAGGCAACGTGCTAGACCATTTTTTGGCCAAAGATTTCTTAGCTTTGGCCGTATGTATATTTTCAATTATATTTAGCAGCCTAAGCTGATCTTCTTTGGCCAAAGAGGAAGTGGCTTCTCGGAAAACCTACAAAATACGACTATACAATAGTGAAATTTCATTAATCAACAAATCCTGACGCTTAATTTCTGCATAGCAGCCATGGTTTTAAACAAATCTCCAGCACACCTGTGCTGTCCCAAACGATATCTTCTACTCAATATTAAAGTGAGAGGACTGTTGAGCTTCAGTATTTCATGCTGCGGTGACTCTAAATAACTCGGTGACTCTAAAAGCGAATTAAAATAGTTCCTTCCTGGCAAAGTAGATCGTCTTTCGATAGAGCGCACATTTCTACGCTTGGCGCTCCAAGTTTTGCTGCCGTTCGTCTCTGTTTGAGAATACGAAGGCAACGATAAAATGTGCCTGTAAACTTTGCCTCTCTCTTGCACAAACACCAGTCTCAAAGTGTTTTTCTCAATCATGCCCAGCATGTCTTTAGCCCATTGCCAGTGTTTGCTAAACGAATCCATTAGGCCTTGAGCGGGTGTAATGCTGCCTTCGTTTACTAGATTACAAAACGAACCGATCGCCTGGAGCTCGTCGGTTCTCGAGCGTTCCTTGATGAGCTCTAGATGAAACGAAACGTGATGGCTAGTGCTGAACACGTTATTCAAATAGGGCCGTAAAATAGGGGCGAAGTATTTTTTGTTTTGGTCCATTGCCTTATAGAGCCACTTCAATATGAGTTTGACGAGAATTTGGTCTTCGTGGAGATTTCTTGCGACAAACTCCTTATCCTTTCTAATTAAATCGATCAATTTTGAAACATAATTACTATAATTAGCTTTAATTTTGACAATGTTTGGATTTTGGAGGCTCAAATACTGGTCTCGGGCTTGGTCTAAAAGAGCTACCAACACAAAAATTATGTCTTCTAGATAATGCTCATCGTCCTCATTGTCCAGCTCGTTATTGTGAGGCTGCCAAATGTATTTCCTCACTTTAAGCATGTTGTGCAAAAGCAGGCCAATATACTCCAATTGACGAGCAGTGTATTGAGTGTGAGCGATGTGACTGCTGTTTCTAGAGCCGGCAAAGCAAAGCCGTCGACTTCTGGTGGCTTTAGGAGGGACGAGGCCTTCAACTAGGTTTTTCCATTTGAATATGAGACTTAATTCGGTTTCTTGGGCTAGGAGCATATTGGCAAAGTCCTCGTTGGTTTTGTTGGACGTTAGAGACTCGTCGAAAAGCCTCAGCAAGTAATTTTTGAGGTTGTTGGCTTCGATTATGAAGTCGTCGTCGCTCAAATGGCCAGGGTTGACGAGAAGGTTGGCTTTTTTGAAAAAATAATTAGGTTGGAACTCCGAAGTTAATCTCGAGATGGCTCTGTCTAGGAGCTTGAGTACTAGCGAGGATAGATACATGGGGGACCAGTTTAACATGTCGGCGAATGGTGTAGTTGAATTTTCTTCTAGTGCTTCCATCAGTAAAGTGAAGAGCATGTATCTGTTGAGGATTTTGTAAGACGTCTACAAATAAAAAATATGGATTTTATTTACTCTAGGAGGGACTAAAAGTATTCTTTTAGTCCCTATTTTCAGGGACTAAAGTGGCACTTTTTTTCCATAAGAATTAAAAACGATTTTAATCCCTAAAATAAATAAGTAGGTAAGCAATATTGCATTAGTACATATTAGAATTAAAAACTCAGGTAACTATAAAGCGTTACTAATTTTTATCGATATTTACATTTTGACAATAATTGAATTTGTTAGCATAAACTGACTTTGTTCATCTTAGCAACTTGTCACAACACACCGAGATTTTGATTTTTGAGTAAAATGTTGATGTCAAATAAGGTGCATTCATTTTTTCACATGACATGTCATCATCATTGACACGTTTTGTAAAGAGTACGGTCAAGTCAAGTCAGGTGACATTTAATTTTTATTTTTTTAAAAAAAATTTCTATCCTCTAAAGTACATAAAATAGTATATATACCTCGGGACTAAAATGTCTTTTTATCCCTCAACGAATTGTAGCCCTCCCTTCGGTCGGGCTACAAACTTTTCGCCTCGGGATAAAAGGAGTCACTTTAGTCCCTCGGTACATAATATACTATTAGGTATTGGTAAATAATCAATTGTTCTCTATTTCTAACAGTCTGTAGTTTTGTGTTTTGAAGTCTTTACAATAAGTAAAAAATTTGTAGTTCCAGAAAGAAGCACAGAGATCCAGAGTGCTTAGAGTCGTACACCGAATGATTTAAATATGTATTGCTCTATAACTGTATCGAAAAAATATTTGGCAAATACTGCATCAGTCAGAGGTAACGGCTAAGCCTAACGAGCAGCTGACAGGGGCGTTCCGAAGGCTTTGGTATTAGGGGGGGGCCGTTACGTCATAATGAGCCAACTCCCAACTCACTTTAAAAAACCACAAAAAAAAGTTTGGGGTAGGTAATTTATTTGTGGGTAATTAATTCATCAACTTTTATAGAATGCATAAAAACAGAAAACGTATAATTAACTTATGATTAATTTGAGGATATCGATTTTTAAATTAATATGTAAATGCAGTAACAAATTCCATTCAGATTGAAGCTCTACTAGGTACCTAACTTATTTTCCTACCGTGTCCATACGTATTTTTCTATTTTTTATTTAGTCCATAGAGTCGGCCAAGTCCTTCTCACTTTTGAGGGACATTAGGTGATCTTGGCCGTTTCCACCAACTAATTTGGGGGAGCCCTAACGTATTCCTCAAACGACATTTCTCCATGGAAGACTGTCATTTTAAGGAATACTTATCGTTAAGGCTCCCCTAAAATAGTTGTTGAAACGGCCACTAGTCTTTCTTCTCCCATAGTTGTACGTGAGTAATTTTTTACGCATTTTAGTTAGCTGAATTTTCGCTCATTGGTTGCTACTCAAGGTGAGTTCGGTTTAGCAAAACGGAGTTGGAACAGATAGAGAGCTGTTCCATAGCCACGTGATCACAGAGTGAAAAGCGTAAAGTGATTTAGTCGAACGCATCAGGAGCAAGGCGAGCCGCGGCCCGCGAATTCCGCGGGCGCTTATCCCCATCACAAACCGAACATGTGTTTTTGCGGATATTTAGGGGGAGCGATGCCATTTTTTTCTACCAGGACCCCAGGGTCCTTATTCTTGAAACAGGGAAGCAGCGTTCCCAGGAGAACAAGTGTTCTGTCTTTGTTACTCATATTGTCGTTTACATATCATTGAGAGAGACGTAATACTCATTCTCTTGGGAACGCTGCTCCCCTGTTTCAAGAATAAGGACCCAGGAGGTGACCAAGCCCTAAGCAAAAAATATCTTCTTTGAGTTCTTTAGGGTAGGATCGTTAGCATAGTGAATTATTAAAAACTTAAATTTTACCGCCTTTTGGAAATAAAGGAAATGCGCATGCCCGCTCTTTGAACTTCATCTCTCGAGGTGGTGCTTCTAAAGTTATCTCTTTTCACTTTACTTGGCTGTACCCTTGGCTATACCCGAACGATGAGGAGCTTGCACTATTTGCTCCCAGTGGCCTGACCCTGACCCGAACGATTTTGCAGTAAAAAGTGTCAAAGGAGTCAAAAGAGTTGCCAAGCCGAACTCACCTTGAATATCATGCAGTAAAGTAGAGTTGGCATAATTGACCTTTTGTTTGGACACCATATTGCGGTGCGCGAACATAGTTGCCAACAGTAGAAAAAAAAATTACTAGTGTTCTGTCAACTTTAAAATCCAAAATTAGTGAATAAATTACATTTAAAATTTAAATTTGCCGCCTATTACGAATGTTTTTGGAAAGAAAAGCCATCAATTTAAGGTTGTATTGGGCAGAATAGAAATAATAAAATATCTAGTTGACAGCCCACTAGTAATTTTTGGTTTTCTTGTTTTGGCAACTATGTTCGCGCACCGCAATATGGCGTCGAAACAAAAGGTCAATTGAAATGCTTTCTTGAGTGAATTTTTATTTTTTAATGCTACTTTTACTAAAAGGTGTTTTTTTTTTAAGTTTTTTTTTCTACCTAGTAACACTGTTCCTAGTGACAGTAAATTTGAAAGGTGACAGCTCATTTCCGCTCATTATATCTTGCCATTTCATTATGAAAAGACTTACGCCAGAGCAACGCTTGCAAATTCTACAAATTTACTTCGAAAATCGTGAGTCAGTTCGCGAAACTTCCGCTATGTGCGCTACGTCCATTTTACGGTCGACATAATCGTCCATCCCAGCAAGTTATTCGGACAATCATGAATCGTTTTCGCACTACGCATACTCTGATTGATAATCCAGAAAAACTCCTTGTTTGGTGTGCTTGTTGGGTTAGTGGAATCATTGGCCCATATTTCTTTAAAAATGATGCCAGTCAGAACGGGACGCATTTTTGTATCGAGCGCCCAGTATACCGCATTCGGCTAACGTCGTATTAACCGAGGCCTGTCTCATAACGAGAGTCTGATTTCCCGATCGATTGTCAAGCTACCGTACGCTTGATACTAGTCTTCTGCGAAATTATGGATCGGCGTCCAACAATTCTTTTTTTTTTTTTCAATTGTTTATCATTTATTATGCACTGGCCAGAAAATTATATGTACCACATTGTCGATTCCAGCGAAATACGAACTAATTTCAAGACTAAGCAGGAAGTCGAGATAAGTGAGAGCAAAATTATGTTTTATCTACATAACCTTACCATGAATAGAATACCATGGCGAGATAGAATAGGCCACTTTCACGTTTTTTCGAAAACATTTTTGAATTATTGTGTTAGCCATTCTTCCAATGACATTATCATCTGTATACTTTTTTCTCCAAAATAAACGCCTATTTTTTGAAATATGTTAGAACGATTTATGAATCGAATTTTTAAAGCAGGTAAAACTTAACAAGATTTTTGATATTTACTTAGGGATTTGTATACCTGCAATCGTTATTTGACAAATGCGGAGATTAGATTCAGGCAGATGTAAATAATTATTTATGATGCTGTCTCTAAGTAACAAAACTAACCAAAATTAACCCAAATTGGAGCTGAGCAAAAGGTTAAGGTAAGGACAGCCTTAGGGTTAGTTTGGGATAGTTTGTTAGAGATAGCATCAAATAACTAGGCAAATAGCAAAATCTTATTAATCTTTAAGTTTTTTGCTACTTTCCATTCCACTTAGTGAACTACTAGAATTAAAATTGCTTTACGATTTGACTACCAGAACCAAAATTAAACTAATACATATTATCAAGTAGCTTGATGGTGAGGAGCCAGGAAAACTCAGAAAGATATTCGAGACTGTAGGCGCGAGTCGCGAGTATCGAGCATGCGGTAGTCCGAGTGATTTTCGTACTACCGTGCGCTTGATACGTGCCGAGGTCGGGTACCCCGAATGCGGGTTGCTGGACGCTCGATACAAAAATGCGAACGGGACAGTCAATGGAGAGCGGTATCGATTCTTGATTACTGACTTTCTTGTTCCCCAGTTGAATGGCGTTAGTGTGGAAAAGTTCTGGTTCCAACAAGATGGCGCAACATGCCACACAGCGCGTGACACAATCAACTTTTTTCAGGAAACATTCGATAACCGTATAATTTCGCGCAATGAACTTGTGAATTGGCCTCCACGGTGGTATTATCTCACACCTATGGATTCAATTCTGTGAGGCTATGTGAAGTCGCTAGTCTATGGTAATAAACCAACAACGTTGAATCGGCTGGAAGCCTAAATTTGCCGTGTTATTGCCGATTAACGTTCCCAGATATTCGAAAAAGTGGTCCAAAATTGGACTCCCAGACTGAGCTTCGTTTGAGCCAGTAGCGGCGCTCATATGCCCCAAATCATTTTTAAGCACTAATGGCATAAAATTACCTTTCTAATAAAGTCAATATCATGGCCGTTAACATGATTTTTATGAGTTTTATTTCAGTTCAAAGTTCTATACCTCTAAAAAAAACACCCTATACTTGTTGCATATTATCAATAGTTTTGGTATGTTTATTACATAGGTCAAAGAGAATTTCAATCTCTGCTGCAAGAGCGTATGCAGCTGGTCTAAAATTTTGAGGATATATATAAATCAAGTACTAAATTGACATTTGTCATAGATAGGTATGTATGTATGTACATTATGTCTAGAGAGAGGAAATGGGTGCATTCAGGCGGTGCCAGTGGCTAAGTTCAGCCACTCAGCATGGACTTTATTATCGAAACAGGGGAGCAGCGTTTTCATGAGAACGAAGGTTCTATGTTCGTCGTCCGTATTCATATTTCCAAAACACTGACAATGACAGGGCAATCGTTCTCATGAGAACGCTGCTCCTCGGTTTCAAGAATAAAGTCCCTGCTGAGTAGCTGAGCTTAGCCGCTGGGAACGCCTGAATGTACCCAATGAAAATAAACAGGTGAATCCGCGCAGATTTTTGAAAATAGTAGTTAAATTATCGTTTAAAAAACTTATTAGGGTATCTAAAACTTTATAAAATTCCTTTTTTTAGAACGTGTTTAAGTCAATTTTAGGAGTATTAACACTGCCCTTTTCTCTTACCAACTGGCGTGGGGATTAGAAAGCAACTAGACATATTTTTACCAACTGGAGTGGACATTGGGGGTCTTACCAACTGGCGTGAGGATTGGAAACCAACTAGACATTTTTTTACCAACTAGAGTGGACATTGGGGGGGGGGGGGGGCGTTGCCCCCCCCCCCTGCCCCCCCTATGGGTCCACCCCTGGCAGCTGACATAATAGGTATATGATTAAAGAAAAAGCGAAGGATTAAGATAAATCCGAAACGAGGTACTAACTAAGTACTTACAGGTTTCTGATATCTTCTCAAATTATTTATGTCGTGTAGAACCTCATAGAGTATATCCAAAATAGTCCTAACGGTACTACTAGGGCCGTAATAATTCAACATCACAAACTCGGCAGCTGGTAGTCGTACTTGCCAGGCGGAAGAGTGCACTCCATACCCGACCAGGTACATACCCTAAATTCCAAACAAATTATTTTACCGTTACCTACATTGTTTCAGTTTAAAGGAAATACCGTTTGAGCTGCTTGATAGGTCAACAAACAATCCGAATGTCCTAGTGGGACCCTAGCAGGAAAATCGCTCGCAGCTGGCCAAGCGTCCACTCCGATCGCAACCAAAATGGTAACCTTAATGGTAATCTGCGACAAAGCTGGCGACAGAAATTCGATTTTAAGCTTAATTCCGTTAGGTTCGTCCACGATTGCCAAACGAAAGTCTCTGGTATCCGGAAACCGAGGCACGCCTCCACCGGGCCCGTAAAACACTTGCTCCTTGGCCGGTACCTTCAAAATGTGGTACATTGTCGCCGGATCGACGATTTTGCCAGGCGTACCACACATTGTGGACTCGTCCACTTGCAATGGCGAGCTTGGCAAGTCGCTGCCAGCAGCCTGGGCTAAGAGTTCGACGAATTTCGCTTGGATACGATCCCTGATGATACGAATGTTAGGGAATTGTATAGTTGAAATGATTGAGTTTACCTTCTGAGGAAGCCGAAGGAATTTATAAATTCCTCCCATCTGGCGTGGGTAGGAGAATTCAGTCTGATTCGGGCGTAGCCTGCGGGACAATCCTTGTCGGTTTCCAAAATTTCGTAGGTAGGATTTTCGTCCGTGGGGTAGATTAGTGGGGTCGATAGAGCGTCCAGGCGTACCAGGTATTCCAAGTGAGTTGAATGAGTCTAAAAAAAGTTTTTTTTCTGTAGTACAAAAAATCTACTAAGAAAAAAATTTGACATGACTGATTTTTAACAAAAATTTAAAAATGTTAAAGAAATATGCTGATGAATCAGGACTGGACTTTTCTAGGATATTCCACAAATATGCCTTGAAATCTTTAGTATAGAAGAGTTACTCCTGGAATATTCTATATTATATTCTGGGATGTCCTTATACTATTTATCTTAGAGGTAAAACTCTACTCACATTATTATGGTCTACTCGATTGTTAATTAAAAATTTCGAGGCAAATCTCTCATCGATTTGAGCTGCCCCACACAAAAGTCTTTGCATCAGCCTCTCGGCTACCGATTTGGCGAGCAAAATGGATTTTTCTAAAAATAATTTGTCAATAATTAATTTAACACTACTAATTACTCACCGAAGCTCATATGGTCCGCATCGTTATCGTCGCTGCCGCTCCTTTCCAAGCGTTTATTGAAAATGAAATTCAAATTTTGCAGCTGATCCACGCAAAATTTCAGCTTCGAGTTCGGCAACACCAGTTCGTCCATTTTTAGTTTCACATTTTTTCTGGATCTGTCTTTACTTCTAAACATTTCAAGGCTAAAACTTTAATCAAAGTGCCAGATGTTATATAGAACAGAGCTGGAACTAATTTTATAATTTGAATTATTAGGTAGGTATAACTGTTTTCAAGTTTTTGCGACATTTTAATTGCATCGCAATTGCTTAAAACAATAATTATCTTTTTGTGTTCAATTACCTCTTGTACCTATTCCCCAATAATTTCACGAAATGTTGCCCTAAACAATAATTCAAATCCAACACTGGCTTTGAACAATGATGTAACAATAAATTAATTATTTATCCGGCCCGCGTTTTATTAACTACTAATCTATTTTATTTTCAACTATGCCCAATTTCAACGGGAAGGATTTGGTAGCGCAAAATGTATGTAAAAAAAGGTACTTACGTGTTTCAAAAATTCACTTTGATGAATAAAGTGTTGCTTAACCCACTCTAACACGCAATATGCAATAAAGAGCTGAAATAATCGGATGTGATCTATACAAAATCGTGTTTCTGTGTAATATAGAGTGGAAACAAATAAAGTTAATGTCGCTTTTCATTTATTTGAGCGTTTTAGCAATACTTATATTATAGGTAAACGCACAGCACACGCTATGTCTATTAGGTGTTTTTTTTTTCATAGGTATACCTTTTACAATTCAACTAAGTACTCAAAAACTGTAATATGCGTCATACGAAGGTAAAAGTTTTCGAAATCCAAATAATTCCAGTAGATACCTAACTGGGTTTTCGATGTAAAATGAAAATCTAAATGTAGTGAAACAATTTATTATTACGTTTGAATTGCTAAAACTCCTTGTCCACTTCCGATTTACTGACATGCCAAAGCCGGAAGACCCTTTTTGTGATTTTTTTTTGAATGTATTTTCTATGTAATTAGGTACCATACACCACACCTCCTTGTTTCGCTTATTGTAGCTTGCACGGCAAAAGAAAAAGACACGAAACATGTGAGGTTATGTTTAGGTTAAAACTACATAAATATCGTGACTGTATAACGAACTAATCCTATGATTATGTTTAAAGCCGGTTTGTTGGTTTCGGCACGAAATCTATGATAGTTAATTGGGTTCTGTAATTAGCCGATTTGCACGGAACTGAAAATACTCCTATTGAAATAATTATTATGAGCTCTAATTGCTGATCTATTTTATAGCATAATAATGATTATACGCAATGAATGCACTCCTGTCCTCCTGAAACACAACCTTTCCCTGTCCAGAGGAATCAATGGGCGCATCTCTTGCATCTGCGCACTAGTCACAGCATCCCTCGAGATACGTCCTCGTCGGAGTCCAAAGTATCGAGGTGTGTCGAAAATATGCGTCGAGTTCCATTGAATTTAAGGGAAAATTTAGTCGTGTGAGGGGTTACGGCTAGTTCTATTTTTCTCCCTGGCCAAATTCGAATGGACTAAATAAATGGAGACAAAGGACTTTGCGATTCAAAGTCAACGCAACTGGAATAATGGAAAGTTTCTTTCTATAGGTAGGATTCGTTTTTGCCTTTAATTTATTAATTTACGTTTAACATCAGTTCAAAACACTAAAAAGTGTGATCTTTGAACAACAGTAAATTATTAATATCAGTGGATAGTTAATTGAAATGATTGGCATTATGCAATTTGTATGAACCCTAATCCACATACACAAAGTGGTTGCGTTATTATAAGTGGGATCTGTACTGATTGCACCATTTTTATTAATTGTGATAATTGATATGTCATAAAAATATGTTCAGCCTTAATTAAACACAAACAATTGAGATGATTCTTTGGTTAATTTCATAACTAAAAAAGGCTTTGTGGGAATAGGTATATGGACATTTTCACCCTAGTCTTGAGTACTATGGTACAGGAGGAAGTTATAGGCAGTACCAATATACACTATATATCTTTGAGTGTGGTTTAAGGAGGTCAAACTAATAATAATTGCGATTCAACGAAAAATGGATTTTTGTGAAAATATGAACATTTTCACCCTAGTCTCGGGCACAAATGGTACTGGAATCAACTGAATTTTTCGTCGAAGTAAACTTGACATACATGTATAATTCAAGTTCTGTCAATAAAATTCTCATTGAAATTTCAAGTTTACTTCGAAAAAAAAAAGCTCTAGTGTAATTTTATTAGAAGTAAAAAAATGGGGTCAGTTAAGTTAGCCCCCCTCCATAGAAAATTTCTGTATGAAAATTATCCCATAATTTTGCTCTCATTTTGCTCCACTAATTTCGATTTTTGCTCCATTACAGTAGAGAGACTATGTGACCTTTTAGGTGGGGGGGGGGGGGGGGCTGAATTAATGCTAGCCCCCCCAGTGAAAATTCTGAAATTTGATCATGCTCATTTTGTTCTCCGAGTTTTGCTCCATTTTACTGCATGATCGGTGAGTTTTGCTCTATTACCAGGAGAGACCTACAGAGCTCCCAAAAATCTCTCCTAGCCCCCCCCCCCCCTCGGTGAAATTTTTTAAATTTGAACATGTTCATTTTGTTCTCCGAGTTTTGCTCCATTACCAGGAATGACCTACGGAGCTCCAAAGAATCTCTTCTTGCCCCCCAGTGAAAATTTTGAAACTTGAAATTACTCATACCGAGTTTTGCTCCATTTTGCACTAACAGGACTTCTTGCGGGCTCTGTTTGTCTATTTGCACCAAAGTTACACGTCTGCACCAGGTGCACCAAAAAGTCAGTTTGTCTCTGTCAGACCCATACAAAAAAAAAAAATATTGGGATAAACCTTGGATAAACAAACACATTTGGTGTAGAAAGTGTCGGTTGGTGCCTTGTTGGTGCGAATAAACAAACAAAGCTAGTGAAACCAAAGAACCACCGTTCTCTTCACGGCCATTATAAAATCTGTTTTTTTTTTTAAAGATAATTCCCCAAGTCAAGAATTTAGTAACTATGTTGGCAACACAAGCCTTTTCTACATAAAAAAATTGAAAACATTGACAATTTTACATTGTAAAGAAAAAACAGACTTTACTCAATTCGCTTTGCACTCGATCGCTTGAAAATCAGTTACAAGGTGCATCAGGGGAAACAGACGAGGAAAGTGAGAGCAGCTTGAGAGCGCCAAACTCTGTTCGCTCGAATATGTGAAATTGTAGCCGGAGTACTTCGGACTAACTCGAAAGCGCTGAGCGCTCAAAGCGTGGCATCCGAAAACGGCTCGTGATGGAGCAAAACGAGCTGATCATGGTGTAAAATGGAGCAAAACTCGGAGAACACAATGAGTAATTTCAAGTTTCAAAATTTTCACTGGGGGGCAAGAAGAGATTTTTTGGAGCTCTGTAGATCATTCCTGGTAATGGAGCAAAACTCGCCGATAATGGAGCAAAACGGAGCAAAACTCGGAGAACAAAATGAGCATGATCAAATTTCAGCATTTCACTGGGGGGGGGGGGGGGGGGGCTGGGAGAGATTCTCTGGAGCTCTGTAGGTCTATCCTGGTCATGGAGCAAAACTCGTCGATAATGGAGCAAAATGGAGCAAAACTCGGGGAACAAAATGAGCATGATCAAATTTCTAAATTTTCACTGGGGGGGGGGGGGGGGGGGGCTAGCGTCAATTCAGCCTCTCCCACCTAATAGGTCACGTAGTCTCTCCACTGTAATGGAGCAAAAATCGAAATTAGTGGAGCAAAATGAGAGCAAAATTATGGGATAATTTTCATCCAGAAATTTTCTATGAGGGGGCTAACTTAACTGACCCAAAAAAATGCTCATTTTATTTCCTTCATCCAACTGTCTGAAATTTTTTTCAATGCTTAGTACTAAATTGGAATCTAAACTCTGTCTAACCAAAGTTGAACGTTGAAGGTCACTCACTCGAATATATCACAGAAGTTGCTTTTTACTGCTGTCTTTATTGCACACGTACTGTGTTTATCAAACCAAAATAGGTCCGAACGTGTGAATCCTATGGTTACAAGGATGAGTAAGTGACCTTCAACGTTCAACTTTGGTTAGACAGAGTTTATAAACTATAGAAAATGAGGTTTTAGTGGCAACAAATCATAATGAGTGTTGTTAAATTTCAATGCACGTTTTTGTCGTTTTCAAATGAAAAACGATTAGATTTTCCGAGTTTCCTTCCAGCTCACCTATAATACACATCGCCAAAATGGCAACTTCTGAGCCGACAATTTCAACGACAAATTCAACGTCCAGCCATCCGTGGAAGTTCCTCGGCTCGGTGAGCTCCGTGAGTCCTGTGAGTTTCTCGCAGAACGACGACTCTATCTCAACTCCCAAATCGATCGACAATTATAACGGAACTGGCTATTACATTGACGACGATGCAGAATCGGGTAAAAATTGGTCAAAATTCATCCGAAACACAATTAATTTTCGAATTTTCAGTGTTCAATGATTTAAAAACGGTCCTGCTGGCGTGTATAGCAACACTGGTGCCGTTAATAATAACGCTAGCGACAATTTTTGGAATCAGGTAATAGTTATTTATTATACAAGACGGTAAAAAGATGCTTTACCTGTGAGTGGAAAATGTTGATTCACGAGCGACGAAGGAGCGAGTGGATTAATTCCACGAACAGGTAAAGCTTTTTTACAGTCGTGTGTAATATTCTATTTTATTCTTGAGCAACTTCTTATTTACCACAATTACTAAAATCATAAGCTAAAATGTGCTAAAGTTTTACATAGATTATGACAAGTTGACAAAGTACCTAACAAACTGACACATTTCTGGTGTTGTCAATCATGCAACATAACCACAAAACAACAGATTTCTGTCAAAGGCACTAAAATTATTATAAAAGATTTGAACAAGTAGGTAAAATTGATAAATGAGTGGGTAAAATTGACGTATAAGTGGGTAAAATTGACAAATGAGTGGGTAAAAATTATTCGATTTCAATACTTCAAATAAAGTGGTACTTTAACAACGAGTTTTGAGAATAAATATATTTTATATAAATTAATATTAATTTTGTAATTTTTTTTTTTAGGACACTTTGGGTACAATATAAAACTCGCCAAAAGCCTAGTTTCGATGGGGTTTTAGTCACAGAAAATACCACGACCACATCAAAACCGCTACATTCGCTTCTATTTTATGACAAGGTAATTGCAAAAAAGATTGTGAGTACGTCACTGGTGTTTTTAAACGAGTATTAATTACGTTATTTGAAACAAGGTGCTATTTTGGGAGGGCAACGACTCGACTTTCTTGCATAGCTGCAAGAAACGGCCGTCATGAACCAACTTAAAAAAAAAAAAACAAATTCTTGGTTGGGCGCATATTTCTGAACCCTCACGCACCACAGCTTGCTTAAAGTATCTACAAAGCTTCCAATGTTGGGAATTAAATTCTCAGCATGTGTAACCAGACCCAGAAGGCCTAAAAATTTCACGTTTCATTTTCCAATAGGCAGAGGGTATGGCGTAATATCGCCACCAGTTGCTGAGCAATGTTTTTTTTTTTTTGGTTCGACATAAATTACGCTCTCTGTCGATGTAATGAGAAAGTATAATTTCGGCCCTCTGGTGGAGAGTTTGTGAGGTTTTTTCAAATAGATTTTCGGTAATTTGCGTGCAGCTGGCTTGCTGGGTACAGTTTAGGTTTTGTAGGAACATGTTAAAAATATTCAATTTTTGGATTTTTCGTTATGAGGCAATAGATACATACACTGTATAGTCTATTATGTGTACAGACCTAGGACAAGAGTTTTCAAATTTAGGCGCAATCCATTATAAGACAATACATACGTACACTGTATAGTCTATTATGTGTTCAGACCTAGGACAAGAGTTTTCAAATTTAGGCGCAATCCATTATGAGACAATAGATACATACACTGTATAGTCTATTATGTGTTCAGACCTCTGCGCTGCAGATTGAAGGTTTTATTTTAGAAAAAATAAAATATAGCGTCACTTGGATAAAGAGTTTTTCGTGACTTATCCTAATTGGGAAAAAGCAAATGAACGTTCTTATTGAATGGTATTTCATTTTTTCGACGGTATTTCGAGAAAAGCGCAACTTTGTAACTCAATATCTAAAATACAGAAATCTAGCTTTTTCAAGTTTTCGCAATATTGCAAATTTTTCCAGCTTTCTACATTTCTCATAATTTTTGTTAAGTTTATTGTGTTAAGCAATTTATAAGTTAAAAAGTCTCTATTCTATACAATGGTTAAAGTTAAACAATATTTCCCTCATTAAATTTGGGTGCTTAAACACCATCTACTAACTGAAGTCGCGTCAACTTTTCTTTTACGCAATAAGGTGTGTCAAATTTATATTTTTTATCCAAAAAACAAAAACTAAACCTAAGCACCATTGCACATTCCAACCGCATAGGTATCATATGAAAATTATCCTCATCTTATGATGGTCTAAATATTTTCGCCGGGCCAAACCTTACATTATCAAATTCGTATTTATTGGTTGTGCAAAGATCGTTCAACCATTTCGACTTGTTGCGGCGTTCTTTTTTTTTTTTTTGAAAGCCTCGTAGCCCAGGCACCCAAAGTGCATTGGCCTAAATGCGCCTCCCAAATATTCCCACTGGCGAAAAAAAAGCACAACGTCATCTCTCCTTGTGTTTAGGTTTATCGGTTTCTATAAAAAGAAAACTTTATTTTGTTTAAGAGGCTGCATTGTACAGGGTGCGGAAATATGAAGTGCACATTTGAATGACGAAGCACCAGGAAGCGTTCGAAACTCCCTAAGAAAACTCCCGTTTCATGAAACTTTATTATTATTATTGTAGCTTTCTCGATCAGACGAAAGTTGAAGTTCAACCCCAATAATGTATCTACTTTTTTCTAATCTAAGGAACTATGTACAGGATGAGTCACCATATTTTGAGACCCACCTACAGCCGTAATTACAGGTGATAGATGAAAGGTGTAAATACAAAAGTTGTAGCATTTTATCTGAGCCGCCAGAATTTTTGATTTAATTGAACAAATGAGCAACGCAAAGTTAAAAAAATATGTCGATGTTCACTTTTTTTAAATGGAATGCCCTTTATTTTTTTCCAAATTCTTAAAGTTCTCGTTTTTTTGATCCAAATTATGTGATATGTAAATGTTTCTTTCAATACTTTTGGAAATATTTGGAGTTCAGTTATTCAAAAACAGTAGTGTTTTGAATATATTTTATCTTGATTTATCTGCCACCTGGGTCCTTATTCTTGAAACAGGGAAGTAACGCTCCCAAGAGAACGAGTGTTCCGTCTTTCTCAATGATATGCAAATGACAATATAGGTGAAAAAGACAGAACACTCGTTCTCCTGGGAACGCTGCTCCCCTACTGTTTCAAGAATAAGGATCCAGTTCACAAAACATTCTGATACGTGAATAGGTCTTTGAATAACTAAACTTCAGATATTTTCAAAACTATTAAAAGAAACATTAACATACATAATATTATATAATCTGAATCAGAAAAACGAGAATTTTGAGAATTTGAAAGAAAATAAAGTGCATTCAATTTAAAAAAAATGTGAACATTGACATATTTTTTCATTTTGTGTTGCTCATTTTTTCAATCTAATTGAAAATTCTGGTGGTTCAAATAAAATGTTAAAACTTTTGTATTTATACCTTTCACCTATCACCTATAATTACGGCTGCAGGTAGGTGGTTGTAAAAATATAGTGACTCACCCTGTACATATTAAAAAAGATCCTTATAAATGCAACTTGTTAATTTATAAGCGCTGCTTTCCTCAGACTTTAAATATGAATCCAAATGAGCTGAAATTTTCAGGGATTGTAGTCCTCTACTGGGATAGGAATCGCTGAAAATTTCAGCTTTTTAGCTATAATACAAATAAAAGTTATAGGTCTTCAAAGTTTTCAAAATTCTTAATCATAAGGTAGTTACCTCAGTACTAAAACGATGAAATTTTAAATTTTTTCTTGTTGAGATTTTGTATCCTAATGGTCTCTTGGGATCTCCAAAATTCCATACACTAATGGCCATTTGCACCGACCATTTTAAGGAAGCCTTAGCGATAAGTATTCCTCAAAGTGGGAATCAAACGGACGCCTTGAACCCTTGAATGTTTAAAATTGACGATTGACACACTTACTTGTCAAATAGTAACAAGAAAACAATGGGTACATTCAGGCGGTCCCAGCGGCTAAGCTCAGCTACTCAGCAGGGACTCTATTCTCGAAACCAAGGGACAGCGTTCTCATAAGAACGATTGCTCTGTCATTGTCAGTGTTATGCCGGACGACAAATAAAGAACCTTCGTTCCAATGAGAACGATTGCTCTGTCATTGTCAGTGTTATGCCAAACGACAAAGACAGAAACTTCGTTCCAATGAGAGCGCTGCTCCTCTGTTTCTAGAATAAAGTTCCTGCTGAGTGGCTGAACTGAGCCGCTGGGACCGCCTGAATGTACCCAATGTCGTCCGGCATTAACACTGACAATAACAGAGCAATTGTTCTTAAGAGAACGCTGTTCCTTGGTTTCGTGAAGAAAGTTCCTGCTGAGTGGCTGACCACTTTCTGACCTAATTTGAAGAACAAATTTGAACAGTGCGAAAAAAAATTATCTTTATCCTTATGTTTTGCATGTTATTAGAAAAAGATGGGAATATATTATATACTCAGTGCACACTGATCGATAAATGGAAATCGAAACCTTCAACATATAGGTCAGAAAATGGTTAGTTCGTAAGCAGCTTACGGTCCGAATATAACTAAACGTTAACCAAAGTAACCGAATCGGTTGACAGATGGTTACTGAAAATTCCGGTTACTTGGGAAACACGAATATGAAATAAAAAAATTGACAGAATTTACAGATAAAACCAACAGAACCGACATCCGATAGCCGCTAACTATTTTGACATTTGGTTAACCAGATTTCAGAAAACCAAAGTCCAAAAGTAACCACTCTTCTCAGGAACCAGAGTAATTTGATAACTTTCGGACCGCGAAACCACAACCTTAGTTAAATTCGGACCACAGCCTAAGTATCCATTCTAGACTCACAACCTCCAAAAAAAGTCTTTGGCTCCAAAGACAGGGTATCCATTACTTCCTAATCAATACAAATAAAAAAGGGCATTCCTATGCCCTTTTTTGTGTTAGGTACACCTTTAGATGGCGCTGTAACTAAATATAAGAACAAAACGTGCCACCCTGTATATAAACAAAACTTAAGCCAGAAATAGCCATTCGAGTCTCTCGTCGCAAATAATTTGACTTTGGCCAAAACGCGAATGTCAAACTTCTCTATACAAACATTTCTATTACTTGCTCCGTCTAGCGCGTCCTTCTAAGCGAAAATCGAAAAAAGACAGGCATTATCGTTATCTCTGTTTGGGCGAAATACGAGTTGCGGCGCGTGGGACGAGGACGGAAGAGGATTCGGCGATAAAAGAATTGCATTTTTGGCGGTTATTAAACTCGAAATGCTCGGGTCGTCGTTGGAACTTGTATGTGTGCGTTTTTCGGAGGACTAATCTATGCATTAATAGCAACGGCGGGATTTTTGACCGGTTTCAAGGATTTTAACAATTTTTTTTTGTTGGTATTTTTACTTCTCACCATGCCTTACGCCTACTAAAGAGTTGTTGATTTGGTTAGAATGGGACTAAATTTAAGTTGCAGCAAGAAGCCAAGTAGGGGAGATTTTATTTTTAGAAAACTTGAGCATGTATTTCTATCTTTGCTTGACACACTGATGGTGAAGGATGCATATTCACTCAATGCGCACTACAAATATCTATCAATCGAAAACAAGGATTTCAGACAGGTTGGAGGTTGCAGCAAAGCGTTTTGTATAGGCAGCGATGAAAATTGCATCTCAAGCATTAGAACATAAATCTTGAGAGAATAAGTCTATGGAAAGTTGATATAAAATCATCGCATTTTAACAATCGATGTTTTCTTCTTTATTCAATTTAACTAAAGAATTGCTCATAAGAATAAAACAGAAGCAAATGCTTTCGCTTAAGTTTTTTGAGATAAACATATTCAGCTTTAAAGCAGCAAAAAGAGAAGGAGTTAGATTAAAAGTATTTGCTACAGTACACTTTATTCATACGACTGAATAACATACAGAAAAAAATTATATCCAACAAAAAATGTGATT